AAAGGAAAGGAAAGGAAAGGAAAGGAAAGGAAAGGAAAGGAAAGGAAGGAAGGCAGCAAGAAAGGAAGGAAGGAAGGAAGGAACAAAGGAAAGAAAATACACAAAGAAAAAATAAATAGAACAATAAAACCCTGATTCACCAAAAAGGAAATGGCTGCACAACCGGGCAACTGTGAACAGCACAGCTCTGTAGGCTGGACACTCACAGCAGCACAGGGCATGCGCAACCCTGGCCACTGTGAGCTGCACAGCTTTGTAAGCTCCAGCACGACAGCCGCAGAAGCAAGGGAAGCCAAAAGCCACAAAAGCCAAAAGCCAACAGAAGCCACCAAAAGCCAACAAAGAAGCCACCAAGAGCCGACAAAGAAGCAAAAGCAGAAAAAGCCAAAAGCCATCAAAAGCCAAAAGCCAAAAGCCACCAGGAAAAAAAATACACCTCCTATCAAAAATGCAAATAATGTCTACATATCAATTTTCGGACTGTCTAGTGGGCTGTGATAGCCTGTGTAAGATTTACATTGTAGACCTGTGACAAGGCCACCAGAAAACAACATGATTTTCACAATCTCATGGATGTAGAATCCGCCTTGTGGCCCATATACCCAGTACTCCAACGCGAATCTACCACCTAGTCACTAGCCGCATCAAGCTGTTCAGAACCGAAGAGGTCAAGGTGTCTGGCCTCCACCGTGTCTGGCAGACCCAACTCCACGTGCAGCAGAAGCTCCACGGCCTCACCTGGCGACGAGGGACGAACTGCTCGGACACGCGCCGACGGGACGCGAGACGGGACGCGACGTGACTGGCCTCCAGGGGCTTGGAAGCATCCAGCAAATAAGGCTCCAGGAAAGCCAGCCATGCCTGCGAGATAGAGGGGTCTCGATTTTAGGGAGATCATGATCATCATGGTTCATTTGGTGGGGATTCAATTCAATTCATCCTGTTTCATCCCGTCCAGATTTCAACTCACAGCTGGTCTCCCCGGTGTTCGATTCTTTTCTCCCTTTGCCACTGTGCACTTATAAGTCCCCTGACCGATGCGCGCGATTCTTCAGTTTTTGATTCTTGATGCAAAAGTGTTGATTGATCTTGAAAGCACCTCACTAATCAACTGAATGAATGAGCTGAATTGAAACTGGAACTCGTCAGAGGCAGCTATGAGCTGCCTCTTCGGCCAAGCGATTTCAGAGGCATGGCCCTTGAATCGGTCGCCTGGAATGCACTTCAAAGCTCCACCCATCTCCAGGGCCTGCACGACGGGCGGATGCCAGGACTCCGCCCCTCTCGGGCGGTCAGAGTCTCAAGGAGTTGATTCTACCGGTCGCCGGTCGCTTCAACAAAAACATGCATGTGAGATCATGTGAGTGCTAAGGAGTTTTTTCACCAAGCCAACTCTCCGAAACGAGCAGTGGCTCGAGGAGCCTGCCAGGCTGATGTGCAGGCAGCCACCAATGATTTACGAAGCTCGCACACACAAGCAACCTTCACAGGCAAGCATATCACAGTCCCACGGCAATTCGTCTAACAGTCCAGCACTACATGGGAATAAGGACAGTACTTTGGGAGTATATATATATATGTGTATACACAGTATATAGGCCTTTCATGGTTTTTCCTCGCATACTGTAGCTGTTACTGGGCCTCTGCAAAAGGACCGTTTCCACCTGTCACTCTTGCGCTCTGCAAATGCTATTTGACATCAAGTATTAGGAAAGGGGCTTTCTCAAGAAAGCGTTCACAGCAAAAATAGTATTGTTATGACTGCGATCATAAAAAACAGGACACCACCAAGCATTGCACCAATGTCTCTGGTGGGGATTGGACCTCAGCTCCTCAGCTCCTCGTTGGTCTACCAAAAAAAGAAACGACTCCACGCAAACATCAGCCGTGCTTGAGTGCCCGACTTCTGTGTGAACCAATTCCTTGGCAGCACTACAGTGAAAAAGCCCTCCACTGGGAATCCGAGTTCAAGTCATCACATCTCCCAGGGTCCTGATGTGTTGGGGGACTTCGGTCAAGCCCTTGGCTGAGTGAGCAATCGCAAGCCCAATGATAGAAGCATACTATTTACTATTAATATCAGTTGTATCAATAATATGATATAACAATATTATATTCAATCTTAAATATATATATATATATATTTGTTGCATATGTATTTATGTGTTTTGTTATGTTATTTGGTGCTTTTGTTTTTTGATTATGTTGATTTCATTTGGGATGCTGCGAAACGCAGCCGGCGGGCTACCCGGATGCAACGGCTATGCGTATATACAGGGTGCATATTATCAAGTTATCAAGTAGAGAGAAAGAGTGTAGCACAAATTCCTGCCACCCATGCGATTTTTTTTGTGTGCTAGCGCCCTTTGTCTTTCTCGTTCTTGCGTTAGCCCGGCCCAAAACAGAAGCCGATACGCAGGTACCCCTTATCCAGCGCACCATTAGCACAGATACGCTATGATAATACACTAAAATGCCAGCCATTGCAAACCCGTTTGCCGATACTCTGATGCAAGGACGCTCAGACATGGAAGTGAGCGTGGCAGTGAGCTGGCTTGTTGTTTCTTCATGTCTCTTCATCATTTACATTGATTTACCAACCCATCTGGATCATATGGTACAAATGCACACAAATGCTTCAGGGACCCATTTCTCCCATCTTGTCCAAGCATCGTCCCAGCGCGCTGGCGAAGTCTTTGGCGCCACTTGCAGGAACCGCGACGTGAAGGGAAGCCGAAGCCGGGCCCTGACATGCGAAAGCTGCGTTAGGAAGCGTATCCTTTGAGCCTGTGATTCCGGGAACGCAGGTGATGCCGATGCAGGTGATGCCGATAATGTTCTCTGGCCGTGAAACCTAAAGGAGAACAACGTAGCTCAAATATCAAGGCTCTGGGGCGCTTGGCACGTCACATGGCCTATGCGCACAAATCACAAAGGACAAATGACCAGGTGTCGCCTGAGACTTTGGCTGTCTGGCTGAAGGTATGAAAGGTCCACCTGGCTCCGAGCGCCAAGGGCGTGCGCGCCAGATTGGGATGTGTCTATTCTTCAGCCAAGCACGGATTTTTTTTGCTGACTACCTGAAGAATAGTCTCAGACTACCTGATGTCAGTATGACATTGGCCAACTGAGATGTCTCGTACCTGAGGGCCAATGTCATCCACTCCAAAGACCTCGCAAGCGGGTCGAGCGGATCCCGCAAGGTCGGTCAGATTGGACTGGTCCGGCCTCGATGCTGCCCTGGAATCGCAAGGCCGTGGTGGGCCACAGGGTACTGGCACCCTGGCGGCAACTTGTTGGCCAAAGTACTCGTGTTGTCAAAATATCGATCAAAACCCGTCAATGTCACTCTCCACTAGCAAGTGGTGAATAGGAGCTCCCTGTAGCTTCTTCCTTATTTGCTCAATTGGCATCGAACTGGTCATGGCGAACGAAGATCACTTCGCCATGGCACGAGAACCCTCGACTCGAGACGCTTTGGCCCTGCCTGGGGCGCCAGTTGCACATCGAAGCATCGAGGATGCACATCTCAGTCCGTGCGACAACGAGGAACATCCGTGGCGTCGGTCGCGTCTCCTGGATCAAAGACCAATCCCGACAGGCAGCAGGGTATATCCTGGTATATCCTGGTCTTCCATGACCCAATTCTGCTGATGCTCCGCACAGTCTAGCACTGTTTCAATGGTCTTTCAGGGTCAGGCTGCTTGTCTCAGCTGGTTGAAGGCGCACATCCTCAGCCGGTTCGATCTTCCAGACTACGCCACCAAACTGAGGTCTCAAAATGAGAGACCAAACAATTCATGACACATCAGGACGCATTCATCCAAAATACATCTAAAGATTCCATGCATCATACATCATCATACATCCATAATTACATCTAAGCACATGTCCACAGGTTTCCCCAAAACCCCACAAGGCCAGCCACGCCAATGTCTGAAGTCTTTGAGACGCCAAAAGCATCAGACGCGTACCCCGTACCCGGTACCGGCGCCCCGGCGTGGATCGGATGAGCACCACCTGGAGGGCGGTTGGGCAGTTGGGCATCGAACAGGTGAGGTTTTCATCAATTGGGTCTGGTTAGGACAGACCAACTGTTCAGAAATAGTGATAATTGCTTGCTGACAGGTATTAGGACAGACCCAAGACATCAACATCAACTGGACAACATGATGTGTTTCATTTGGATTTTGTCGAGTTTTGGTTGCATCAAAGAGGATTAGTTGCATTGCTGTGTTGTACCAATTATTGCGGGAAGGATGTGACAAACAAACAGCCAAATCCCCAGCTGATGGGCCGCCACACGAAGCCAGTTGTATGGTTGTTGCATACCATTTAGACATTTTAAATATATCACAGCAAGAGGATTTTACGTAGGAGCAGTGGCAGTACATACCCTTCTATATAATATATATACAGTATATGATAGCTTTATATAGCCAGAAAGGATGAGACTACAGTAATAAAAATACCAGCTGAGTCCGCCACGGTTCGACACCGAAACCTGCCAGGCCAAGCTGGATGCGCAGCTAAACAAAACCGATGTCATCAGAGTTGATCGCATCCGCATGTTTGATCTCAAACTATTTAAAATCAAACATCAAAGCCCACAAGGTGCATGTCTATTTGTCCCATCGATCCATCGATCCATTCCATCCATTCCATTCCATCCATTCCATTCCAGTCCATTCCAGTCCAGTCCGTCCCGTCCCGTCCCGTGCCGGTCCCGTCCGGTCCCGTCCGTCCGTCGATCCTCTCACGATGGGCGGATGCATCTCGCCCAGCCTCGAAGTGGATCTTCTGCCGAGGACCCGCCTGCTGGAGGGGATGGAAGTTCATGGACAGTAGCACCTCGCTCGGACGCTGGAGCTTGCAGTGAGCGGAGCTCCGGGCGAGCGCGGAAATGGGCAGAATCTGCGACAGCCAAAAGGATCAAATGGATTTGAAAAGATTCACTCAAAACTTTTCTGAAAGGTCCAAGGAATCAAGACTTGCCAAGTGAGAGCCAAGTCACTTGGTGATCCTCATAGAGGATGCCCTGCGCTTCGCCCAAGAGCTGCCGGAAATGTGCCGCCGTGTTCAGTGCGATCACATGCCTCAGACGTCCAAGGTCTCAGGTCTCCACTGAGTAGGTCTCGGGTCTCCATGGATCGTTCCAAATCCAACCCAGGGATAGGTCATAGGTGGATCATGGTGAATAGGTCTTGATCATGGATAGGTCGAAAACTCGTCCATGGAATCCAATCAGATAGGTCCAAAAACCCTGAAAGCCCGAAGAAACCCACCTTCAGCCTCTGCAGCCTCTGGAGCCTCTGGAGCCAGGCCGGCCTGGCAACCTCACCTCACTGGGGCCACAACGAGGCCGGTCGCCTGGGCAACAGAAGGCCCAGGCTTTTCATGGCGTCTCATGGCAAAGCTTGAGGGTATCGATGTGTTGTTCTTGCCCCAAGATGGACTGATGGTCAACAGGTCAAAATGGGAAATCATATGAATCAATCAATACCTAAACAAAATAGTAGTAATAATATGTAATAATTACATTATTGAGTCACATGTCATTACTCAAGAAGCTACTAGGGGCTCCTGGCCTTACTACTAGGAGCAAGGACCTGGCATCGCTACTAGGAGCACTCTTACTACTAGTAACAAGAAGCTATTACTCAAGAAGCTAACAGAACCTCAGCAGGACCCACCGCACCTCAGCAGGGCACCCGGCTGACGCACTCGAGGAGTTAGTTTCCAGGTCTCATCGGCGTTTTCGCGAAAGGAAACTCTTTGAATCCCCAGAAAACAAGTGTATATACTTTCAGAGAAACCTTACCAAAATGCTTCAGCTTTGATTTGGGGAGTTTGAAAACTGCAACTGTTCGCTAGATGTGTGTTCTTATGCAACTTCAAACTGAAGCCCAATCCAAGGCATCTGTCCAAGGCACAAGACGTTACTACAAACATAGCTCGGCAATCATATACAGTATACAGTATAACGTATATATGTGTTTTTGATTTTGTGTGATAGACGTAACCCAGCCCAACAGCGAAGACGTTCTGACTTTTGTATGACAACTGACAGGTGAGTCATTGTTCTCCCCGACTGGTCTCGCCTGGAGCGAGCTCCTGGGCAAATATGCTCCCGTGTGCCTGGGAGTGGTGACCACATGAACCGAGAAGGACGATGAGGCAAAGAGAGCACAAAGCTACCCCCAGAGTCAGGCGCACGACTGGCACAAACACCTACCGGCTGCTGGTGTTTGATGGTGTTGAAAGATTTGGGGAGGTCCACCCTGATCTCATGCATAATGAGGGTGGAAATGTGGAAATTGCTGCGGTGTGAGCAGTCTGGCGTGGTGTGGTTGGCTGTCGGGTGACATCGACATCTTGCATGTGACTACTCTAGCTCAGAAGACCTGGTACCCTCCCAACTATGCTTGACCATGTGAGAACTTCCAAGTCAAATGTTCCATGTGGAATTTTCTGCCATATTCTCACAAAGTTCCAATCCACTTCGAGATCCCCAATGCGGTGGATAATTTGGTTTCTCACGACAACAGCAGCTTCGCACTGAGTCTGAGCACCCTCCATAGTCTACTTCCAGCCTGACAGGAAACTTAGATGGTCTTCTGTCTGCTACGCAACTGAGTTGTCAATCGTTCTTCCAAATGTGGTTTTGCTGTTGACTGACGCCATAAGCTTGCGAATTTGTCTGCAACACTCAATAGTTAGTTCAAAATTAAGTCCGGCAAGTCAGTCTCATCTGATCTCCTCTTTCCCACTACCTCTTGTTGACGATAATCCCTGCCTCGAAGCCTTCTCTGCCATGGATGATGCCAGCTCATCAGCCTCAGGGTAATCCAGTAAGCGTTACACCTGAACTTTTCAGTGGCGTATTTTCTTCAAAGATCTTCAGAATCCTTCAAAGCATATCGAATGATTAAATGTTTTGTTTACGAAACCAGGTCTCCATATCTTTGATGTGGAACAGCCTCAAGAGGCATCATCTAACAACAGACGTTCAATTAATCCATGCCAAAGGTCGCAGTGCCTGAAATTGGATCTCCCAGAAGAGTGTCATCAGTGGGGATGAGCAAGGGTGCCCCAGCTCAAGTATTTCAATATGTGCTTCTTATACACTCTGCGGCCGATGCATTGGTTTCATTCAAGTCTAACAAACAGGAATAAGTGTGGCTCAAACAGTCCCAGAACGCGCCGGTGGCATGGTCGAAGTATGTCGATGTGTCCTTTACAACGAGGCATCTGGGCACCCTATCCCTATGTTTGAGTTACGGCCGAATTTACAGCAAGCATATCTCTATATACTATCACAATGTACTCTATATACTATATACTCTATTGTCTCTATTTGGGGACGCACGTGCTTCCCACTGTTGTGGCCCAAGGTCTTTAGATTTCTTCACAGCAAACTGACCGGATACATACATATATATATATTATATTATATATATATATGTATCTGCCTAAACGTGGAGATTTGGTTTCCTTCGGGTTCCCTGCCTGGCTCACGCTTGGGCTCGGCGGTCGTTGGTCTCCGCCCGGAAAGCCATAGGGCACATTGCTCCTGCCACGAATGGCGCTCGACCACATGGCACATGACCGCTAAATGTGTGGACATTTATGGGTGAGGGCGAAATCTGGGTGATGAGCCATTCGACATATTCCGCAGTTGCACAAGAGTCCCAAAGTTTCCCAATACAATCCATGCTCATTTCTTGGGGTGGCCACAGGTCGCCTTCTCCAAGTCACAGAGTCTTGGACTGAGTGACCTTGTGATGCCCTTTGTTACTAGGAATCTGTTCATGTTCGGTGATGAGCAATAACTTGATTCACCTAGGAGCGATGGCCTCCAACCTACTAGCGATAGCCTCCAATCTGGTAGAACTGGAAATTGGCTGGTTTGTGGCTGCATACTGTAAGCATTCTGAATCGAACCTTCCAAGTCCACTCTGACTTCGTCCCAGCTTTACATGGTCCAAACACCAAGTCTGCTCCCCAGCATCCGGGCCTCCGTGTTTCAGAGTCGAGGCCCGTGACCGATCCCAGTGCATGTCTCACCTGCCTCAGTGCACCCAGGTACTGACCGCACGTGCCAAACGCGCGCACGCACCGTGGCGGGAGTAGGCCCATGCAACTGAATGCAACGAAGCACCCCACGGCTTTAAGGCTAACCCCAGCTCAAGCAAAAGCGAAGCCATCTTCACCACTGGGATACCCACTTCAACTCCAGCTCTGTGGCTGTGTTCAGCGCTTTGGCACCTGTTGGCAGATGTTCATGGGTGTCGCGAGGCGTTCATCAAGCCCGACAAATGTCCAGCACAACCAAGTGTGCTTTCCACTACACGCTCTGTTAGTGGATTTGCTTTCTGTGTAAGATTGCTGTCGTCAAACCAACCTTTGCACTTTCCTGCATGACAAGCAATCCATCCAGCCATTGCTGTCGGTAACGTGAAAACTGGCTCACCTTGAAGCCGATTTTCCAAAGACTGCTGGACCTGCAGGGGCAGCAGTCTTAGCTGACACTCAATGACACTCAAGGAAGGACTGACGCTTCTTGCTCAGCTCCAGGTTCAAAACCCCAGCTACTTTTGGGGGGTACACATTACCCAAAAACATTGGAACAAACCCGCACAGGTTTCGGGGCTTGCCGTGAACCTGCACTTGTTCATTCAAGAAAAGGAGCAACAAGCCAGGAAAGGACCAGAAGAAGCACCAGCGTCTTGATCTTTCTTCCCGGGTCTCTTCCTCGGTCTCCGTGGACATGTTTTTTGGCCGAAAAAGACCGCCTCCACTTGGCCCGCGAGGTCATCTTCCAGTTGAGCGATGCGACGCTGGGCATCTAAAAGCCGCTGGCAAGTGTCCTGGAAGACCTGAAGAACTTCATCCCCGAAGAACTTCAGGTGTCGTTCGACACCCCTCAAGGGACAAGGCATCGAGACGACAGGTTGTGGTTTGGGATGGTTTGGGAATGTTTGGGATAGGATGTGTACAAGCTGATGCATGCGATGCTTACCAAAGTATGCCAAGGCACCTCATCCTTCTCCGAAAGCCTCCGCTCTGCCTGCGATCTGGCTTCCCAAACCCACTGGATGGAAATGGGTCATGCTGGTCGACGTGGTGGTCTCTCATCCTTCTTGCTCAGGTTGTCAAAAAGAGAGTTGATAGAAGGAATACATCCTAGGATATGATCTCTTGGCACTAACTTCACTATGCCATCTACCATACCTACCTCACAAATAGGCCGATCAACCGTTCAAACCTGTCAAATCACTTTGGCCTCCAGAGCTCGCTTTCGTATCGCCGAGAGCTCCAAGCCGCGCTGGTCCAGCTCAGCCTGTGCAAAGCTATAGTCGTCAGCCTTGCAACTGGATACCAAACAAGAAAGTAGATTTGTTTCCCCAACTGACCCTTGGTAGCAATACCAAGTGAGAATAACGCCATGGAATGGAAACGTTGCCACGACGTCATCTGCAGCTGAGTCATCCAGCTGAGTCATCGCTCCCTGCCTGCAACTGCATGTTCGCCTCCCGCAGCGAGCTGATGGTGGAGTCTTTCTTGGCACTCACATCCTGCGCATGTGCTGGGCATCCATTCGCTGGCTAACTCCATCCACTAAGAGGGTTCAGTTTAGGTGGTGGAAAGGAAGGACATGGGAAGGTGTGTGGGTGTGTCTTCGGCTTCCTCGACCTCCTCGACCTATGTGTCCGAACCTGCCAGGGGATCGGAACACCTGGGAAGTCTCCCTATCTTCATACACACCTGTGTGTCTTCGGCTTTTGCATTCAAAGAAAGAGCTTCACCCACGTGTGTATTGACCCATGGCAGTCCAAGACTTTCAAAAACAAACCACTAAACCACAGCCAGCCACACCTGCGCCTCGAGTTCCTTGACGCGTCGGCGCAAGGCCTCAGCCGTGTTTCGGAATTGAAGGGCCCGGGAACCTTTCGCAGTGCATGTGACGGAAGGAATTCGAGCAAAAAAAAGGGAAACAAGTCCGAGGGACAGGCCAAAACCTGTGAACATTGAGATTAGTAGCTTAGGTGTTGAATGTTAATGTCATGAAACCCGACCCCCAGGTGTATGCGAAACCCTCTGCGCACCTCGACTTCCTCCTTGGACGAGTCATTCTCTGCTTGCGACCGCAACTCTTGCACCTTCAAAGGGTGGGCCCGGGTCGATTCAGAGGGGCACCAATCTTGGAAACAGGAGATATTTGGACCTCTACTGTGCTGTCTGATCTCATGTCACCACCGTCTCTTTGGGGAAAACCAAACTCTGCGGGTCCACGCGCCAATGGAGGTGAGGGCCAGCCCTCGTTGTGGCCCTGCTTCATGTTCGTGAAGTGAGTCTTTTTTTGTGGGAGAAGTCCGGTCGCAAAGTGACATGAAAGGCGGGTCGAAACTCTGGTGTTCATCGTAGGGAACTTTCACACCGACCTTTTAATCTATATGTGCCTTAGCTTTGTACCTACTATGTGATTGACCTCTTGAATCCAAGAGAAAGGTCATGACCAAGAAGCTTGTAAAAAGACCACCACCTCTTGGCATCAAAGAATGTCGCGGGCCTCTTGTGCCAGCTTGCGGCACAGCTCCGCCATCTGATCCGTCTGCTCGGGCGCAGGCGGTGCGAAGGACGGCCGCACATCTGGCAGCTCCTCCTGCACCGGGTCCAGCGGCTGCTCACTCCAAGTAGGCTGCTCCATCCGAGAACCTGAAGGCTCGGCACAGGCGCGTCGCCGTGTGTGTTTTTCCTGTCGGATCTAAAGTCTCTACTAGCGATGGCCTCCACCCAGAAAAAGAGGTGGGAGCTCATGACTGCTTCGCTGACACCTGTTTCTCCGACAATGTCTGACCAGGTTCCCGAGCTTCCTTCTTGCTTTTCTTTCTGGAATCCAACCCCCTAGCTCATCCACTTAACTGCAGGGGTGGGGTAATGACCCGCCTGTCCGCCTAGTGTTGCGCCAGGGGGTTGAACCTGGGCAAGATGCCACTAGACCATACTAGGTTCATCGCTTTCTGAGGGCTCCAAGAATTCTATTGGTACCTTGGGCATCTTGGGCTTGGTATCCGTCGCCAGCGCAAAACCAGCGGCGTTCGATTTGTGCGGGAAAAGACTTGAGGCCAAGGGGGGGGGCGAAAGCTAGCGCTCCAGAATGGGAAAGTGTAGGGCAGCGAGGTAGGAAAAAACACGGCGCTCTTTTTGGAGGCAGGGGTGAAGAGTCCTTTATATGTGGTTCTTTGCCCGGATCCTTCTGCGAGAGAAGAGAGAGAAGAGAGACGGAAAGACGAGAGACAGAGAGGAGAGAGAGAGAGAGAGGAGAGAGAGATGAGAGAGATATGAGAGAGATGAGAAAGAGATGAGGGAGAGATGAGAGAGAGATGAGAGAGAGATGAGAGAGATGAGAGAGATGAGAGAGATGAGAGAGAGAGAGAGACAGTGAGAGTGAGAGTGAGAGTGAGAGTGAGAGTGAGAGAGAGAGTGAGAGTGAGAGTGAGAGTGAGCGAGTGCGGCCGCAAGATACGCAACGCTAACCGCATGCCAAAGAGCGACGACAGGACGGAGTCGAACTTGCGAAGAGGGAGGAGGGAGGGAAGGTGGGAGGAAGACAAGGAGGAGGAGAGGGGAGGTGGGGAGAGGGAGGGGGGGGGGGGGGGGGGGGGGGGGTTCGACCTGAAAAATCAGGGGTTAGGATTTGCACCCGATCGAAAGAAACCTTGCTATCGCAAGAGTAACTCCAGCTAGCTTCGCTAGCTTTCGTGAAAACAGAAACCGCTCCATCCACGCTTTGACTCGCCTCCATTCCCCAGTTTTCCCCACTTCCCTTTCACTATCCACGCTTCTTCGAACCCCAATAGCATGTCTTTTCACTGCAGGGAAAACAAAAGACAGGAAGATCACCTCCAAGGCACCAAAGTTCGGGCCAAGATCCCCACCGAAGCTGGCATCTGAACCATGATCAGGGAGATCACCTTTCTATAGATGAGACTCTTACCGTTCATTCGATCAAACCATTCTATCTACGAGGCGTGTTTGCCACCTCGCAGGTTAGCCTAGGGAAGGATTGCGTGTCTCACCACTTGGATCACACCGAGAGATGACTGCAAGTTGTGACTCACTGATGAGTGATTTTTTATCTCTCTCTCTCACCAGACTTGAGGTGCTGCTGAAAACCGGGTGACAGGGGTGTCACCTGGAAAAACTCGCAGTACCGTCACATCCGATCAAAGCTACTGGAGGTCCGTATACATCATACATCCGAACATCCACCATGCACAAAACCTGATCAGATCGATTCTGCGGTGAGCGGGTCCACCTGGCCCAAAGCCGCCAAAGCCGTCACTGATCCCAAAGGTGCTGGGGCCCATGGGGTCGCCGAAGCCCGCGCCGTCGGGACCAAAGGAAGGGAAGGATTGCAAGCCAAAGCTGCCACCAAAGGAGCCTGAAGCAAGCTTTATTTTCGGAGACTGAAAGCGCAGCTTTATCTTCGGGTGTAACTGTTCAATCCTCGACTACACAAGCATTTCTTGGAAGTCTGCAAGGTATATCAAGGTATGGATGTTGCCAGGCTTAAAGTCTTGACCTCGACCTGTGGAAGTTCCTGTTGAATCTGTTCAGGTTCTTTTGCACCGGTCATCTCTCACCAATCAATTTCCACAGATGAAACACCCAAATGATTTCACCGTCGCGTTTTGAGTCTTCTATGCAGTTGCCGTTGGCCTTCCATCACACCCAATGCTCATGGTGACACTCCAAAAACAAAACAAAGCACTACAGTGACTACAGCCTACAAGTACACTCTTGATGAATTTAACTTAACCCTTCCCATTGAGATTGAAAAAACCTCTCTTGTTCTAAAAGGTCTCTTCCATCCTCTCCGTCTACAGCGTCCCTCCGTCCCTCTCCGTCCCTCCGCGTCCCTCCGCGTCCTGGCCGGCCATCACCGAGGGAGTCGCTCGCCGCCTCTTCGGGGCGCCAGTCGCCGAAGCTGGGCGTGGCCACCTGACGTGGGACGAGCGGGACGAGCTTTCCTCGTAGGAAAGGCAGGTGAGAGACCAAAAGCGAAGGTGGCAGTTGCTCGGTTGCAGTTGATTCCGACAAATTCCATTTGGGAGTGTTCGATGTTCGAGTCATAGACGGGTTGAACATCCATGAAGCCTAACAACGGTGAGGTGCCCAAAAGGTCGTTTGCAAAGCAGGCGAGGTGTTTGAGTCAAACCCCACACGAAACCGTGCTCTCCGCATCTTGACACAAAACACCAGGGTTGAGGGGTTTGAGTCCGCGAAAAATAAAAGACAGGTACACTACATGTCCCCCCCAGGACTCCCTGAGAATTCAATCAGTCTGGGCCAAACATCCTTTGTAGACCCCAGGTCAGATTTAGCATCCATGTGCCTCATGTCCGTCAGTCACCTCCATCAGATTCCGACCTCCGGCAGCCGCTCGGCACTCTTCCGCCGGCGCCGGCGGTGCGACCGGGGCTCGGAGGGCGCTTCCTGGTTTCCAACAGCGACAGGAGCTGGGCTGAGAAGAAAGCAGGGAAGATATGCCAAGTTGCAAGTATGAATTCGGAATTATCCAGATCTATCCATATCTATCTATCCATCTATCGCAATGTCTGAGGATTCAATGTCTTTCTCTCTTCTCTTGTTCTAGTTACTAGTTGATTTCTACTTGTGACTTTGTCCTTCTCGTTCGTCTAATGTTGGCCTGTTGGCCTGACCAAGTCTGCCAAGCAAGGTTGAGAGGAGGAAGCAAAAGGAGAAGCCATAGAGAATACCGAGACGAACCATTTTCACCTAAGACAAGGGGGGAAAATGATAAGACTCGGACCCGCACCTCATGGACTTCAACCGATACTCTATCCACTTCTATCATCTATCATATTTAAAAAAAATATATATTTAATAATTATGGCTGCTGTCTTTAGACTTGGCACCAGGGTCGATAGTCTCTTTGGTCTTTCCGGTCACCCTCCGATAAAGCGTCTTCGGGCATCCAGCCAGCGTCTTCGTGCCCTTGCAAAACCGGAACACATCAAATCTGCAAAAGGGATGCCCCCCACCTGCCACCGTGATGAGCCTGCAACATGCACAACTTGGAATTTGGAACCTGATGCTTCTCCATTCTGGCCACACCCACCAACCCCCACTACTGCCACCTCCTGCCCTGCCGCCTCCTCCCTGGAAGCACGCGATCCAGTACTGGGCGATGCAGGGAGCGCCGGTGCCGCGCCCAGCGGTGCCGCGCCCAGCGCCGTGGCGCCGCTCTCGATACTCTGCTGTCGCTCCGCGTAGCGGCTGACCACATCGAAGAGCCGCGCGAACCGCTCCGGGTCACCGTCTGACAGGGAGCGACCGTGCAACGACCGTGCCCATCAGTGGGTCGGAAAGGCGGAATGGACACCCCACAGCAAGTTGGTTTTGTTCCCATCTGTGCACCCGCAACAAGCGGGACCCAGTTCAATTGAGCGCTGACGACTGGGTCGCACCTGCCGCGGCTTCAACAGCATGCTGCCACTGCTCCAATGTGGACTCAAAGTGTGCCTGCCATGCAACATATGCAACATCATTTGGCCAACTCCAGTTCCTCGCCTTTGCTGGCCACTGAGTGACCACAGGATTTGCTCGTTGCCACAGTATCTCAAATCACCGGTGGCTCGTCTATCGCCCTGGCCCTATCACCTCTTTACCCTTCATCGAAACAATGGGCATGTGATTTCACCGAGAACATGGGCACCACCTCCGCACCTCATCTCCTCATCTCCCGAACCTCCAACACCTCGCCTTCGCTTCCCCGAACTCCATGCTCTCTCGCCCATGCCGTTCCAGGGCCGTCTGCATCGCGTCCGCCAGGCGCCCCAAGAGCGCTTCATCCAGCTCTGACGACGCAGCGTGCCGTTCCACGGCGGCGCTGAAGGCACCGGCGTCGGAGGGGGCCGGGGTCAAGGTGAGGTAGTCGTAGGTCATGGGGAAACGCACGCCATCCTGGCGATGAAGAAACGGTTAAGAAACAAAGAACGAGTCAAAAAATATGAGTCGAGTCGAGTAAGAAAAACGGTCAACGTGGACGTCCAAACAAATGCAGTTGGTTCAAGTCCCTGTGGGAAGCATAATGACAAGCGGAGGCATCTGGTGATTTTCTGGTGAGTTTCCACACTCCGCGGAGGCATCGACGCGCCTTCGTGAGATCCTTCCAGGCTTGCGCAATCTTGCCTCCGCCAGTGTTTGGGGGCGCGCCCTTGGACTCATAGTGCCTTCCCCACTTGTCCAAGAGCTCACAGGTCGCCTGCGCTGCCGCGCTTTGCGCTCTCTGCGCAGCTCAGAGCGGGCTTTTGGACACTCCGGTTGAGGATGAAAGAACAGCTAATTGATGTGCAGTTCGGATCCCTCATCTATGTTGATTGGTTCGCCCACGGCAAGACCTCCACTCTGGACTCTGAACAACACAGTCCTGGAGTATCTCGACGTCTTTGGAACGACCTGAATTGTCAGGTCGCGTCAGGTTGATCCAAGCCGATCAAAACGACCAGGTTGTACGGCTTGGATCCGAAGCTCGGGTTCGGACGGTGTTTGCGCCGCTCTTGTTCCTGGCAGCATCGGTAATTGGAGGGTGAAATCTCACGTGCTGCATGGCTGGCCTGTTGATGCCGGCACATCGAATACACCCGATCAAACCTCATGGATAATTATGACACACATGAGTCATAGGTAGAACATGATGCAGTATGATCGAACGTTCAATGAAAGAATCATTGACATGGCCCAGATTGCCATCAAAATCTTCTGTAAAAGTCAATCAATCTTCTACTGTAGAATAACCTTCAGTATAACCTACTCTTCTAAAGTAGTATAACCTTCAGAATAATCTATCGTCTACTGTAATTCTCAGTATAACCTTCCACCGAATCCAAAAGAGTCCGCTCCGCCTTGGTCTCTTTGGCATTGTTCTTAAAGTAGTCCAGCTTCTTCTCATCTGCAATCGCTTCCGCCAACATGCCATCCTTCACATCCATCAGGTAGTCCAGCACCTAGACATGAATGTGGGGGGCTCGCTGGGACATTAGCTGACTCCTGTTTTGACTCTAATTAGCAGCTCGCCGAAGTCACTCAGTGCAGCACCTTCATCATAGCGACACGTGCCGTCACACTTCGGCTCCTTGAACTGACGATTTGGCGCTCGGAGTCGAAGCACACCTATGAAGCTCCGTTCGTAGCGTCCGATCGCTCCTAGTAGTAAGGCCAGGAGCCCCTAGTAGCTTCTTGTTCCAACAAAATGCATGCTCAGCGTCTGATCTTTGAGAAACCGCACACAGCGGCTCAAAGTGACTTTGCCAGCATCCCGTCGTGCAAGATCATAGCGCCTGCAAACGTCTCAGGGCGACATGATGAGAAATGGAGCGACAGAGCTGGTATCGCACACAGTATCATTACGTACTGATAGAGCCCATGGATGGCGTAGACCCTAGAGAACTACTAGAGAACCCAATGATGCACATAACATGGAGCTTTTTGTCCGGATGGCCATTGACCATAAAGCACACAAAGGTGAGGAATCAGTCATAAGGCCAACACTCGCTGTGCAAATTGAGCGGTCTCGCCACTGACTTCTTCAGCCAACTGTGTTTGATCTCACTTTGACCTACTCTGAACAAGACGCATTAATTGCAACACCCAGCAAATTTCGTGGCATTTCAGCTCAGGTGTCCAATATTAGAATTAGAGGCCAACTTATCTGTGGAAGCAGTGTAATTGTTTCATCAATGTGCAGGGGAGCTCTTGCAGATACTTGGACCTACAAAACTGAGCGGCTTGTTCCGAAAGCACCCAAGCTGATTGAACATGTCTGATGTGCTTGTGTAATGGGTTCTCTATATGGTGTCTTAGTCTTAGTCAACGTGCCTGCCACCTTTCACAGAGGCAGCAGAACTCATTCTAACTTTCAAGATCTCTCAACGACTGCTCCTGAGAAGTTCGTGTCGCACGTCTTCCACATTGATCTGCGAAGGGTCATCTGCAATTGCCTCACGGGTCGTAGCAACAAATTTGGAAGAGTGCCCTTGCAACTTGAAAAACAAAAAAATGAAACGTCCTGGCTTCGTGTGCCATCTGCCAATGACGTCACCATCTGCCCCTCGTGTTCCACTGCACTTGTGACCAGCCCCTCATCGTCTTCACGCCTCGATGATGTCTTCCAACTCTTTGGACGCTTCAAGGATGCCAGGAGACAAAGGTGGAGACCTCAGGGTCTTTCTTTCCGCACCGTCTCCAGGGTGGTGCAACAGCAGTCAAGCTAACAAAATCAAACCACAAAAAAGAAAGGGCACAGTGCGATGCACAAAGAACACTTCATGTTCATCTTCATCTTCATCTTCTTCTCCTTTTTTTTCTTCTTCTTTTTATTTCTTCTTCTTCTTCGTCTTCTTCGTTTTCTTCGTCTTCTTCTTATTTGTTTTTCTTCATCTTCATCTTCATCTTCTTCTTCTTCTTCTTTTTCTTCGTCTTCTTCGTCTTCTTCGTCTTCTTCTGATTTTTATTCTTATTCGTCTTCATGTTTTTTTCTTATTATTATTATTATTCTTCGTCTTCTTCGTATTCTTCTTCTTTTTCTTCTTCTTCATCTTCGTTTTCTTCGT